CGGGGTGCCGCTGGGGGGCTGCCTGTGCTCCAGCCGAGGGGCTCCCGTCCACGCTGCACCACACACTCCTGGCGCCCCCTCTTATCTCTGCCTTCCCCTTCCCTTTCCGCCATCCCTTCCGTCCAGGCCCCCTCCACCCCTTCCTAATACCCCTGCCACCGCTGCCACAGCCCTGCCTGGACAGGGGACACCACAGACCCTGCCAGAGTGGGGGCTCAGGGGTGCGGAGCTCTTCCTCACCCTTCACCTCAATCCTTCACATGCAGACTTTTCCACTCCCTTCTGCCCAGCCACCATGGGCCTTGCTGTCACTTTCAGCAGAAGGGAGGTGCCAAGTACAGAAAAAAGGTCCAGCAGAGAAAGCTCGGAAAGCGACTGAACGGACGGACGGCACAGCTCCCCCTTCTCCCCGACCTCCTCTCCCACACAGAGCAGGGGACGCAGGGGACTGCACGGGGCGGAGACATGATGTGAAACCCTCCCGGCCCAGATGAAGTTCCAAACACTCCTGCCCTCCTGCCAGGAAGGCAGGGACATCCAGGAGCACCTGCTGGTGGCGGGAGAAGGGCGCCCATGAGGGCAACGTGGACACACGCACAGTCAGTTTGCAACACCAGGAACAAGATCCCAGAAGCACAGCTCCTCCCCCGGGAGCATAAAGAGGTCACTGCAGGGAGACAGTGCTGGGCCTGGGCACAGCGCCACCGTGACTCACACCCTGCCAGCCCGGCAAATCCCAGGCATCAGGACGTTGCCCCTGGACCCCCGTCATGGCCAGAGATCGCTGCCACCCCAGGCTGCCCTGCCACCTCAGCACCTTTCACGCACCGGGAAACCCTCCCGTGCCCAAGCCCAGATGCCCCAGCCAGCGTCCACCCCAAGAGGTGGACGTTTAGCAGTGCCAGTGCCAAGCTCCCTGTCGGCCCCAACTCTGGCTCTGGGATTCCTAGATGTCACCATCCCTTCTGTCCCTTCTGTCCCTCTACAGCCTGCAAGCCATAAAAGGGCTGAGCTCTCCGGGCTCTGCCCAGATCTGGGGCCTTGGTCCAGCAACCCTGGGGAACTCCAGCCGTACGCCCAGCC